TAGGGTTTAAAGATTGTGAAGTATATTTATGAAAGGAAAATTTACACATTTGAAAACTTGGGAAATTTACCGGCATTTTTTACTCGGAGCATGCGCTAAGCCATGGTTAATTAAGAATTATAGGTAGGAATTATGCATATTATATTAACCATAACTAGTAACAATCCTTGTGTAAAAGATATATGTCACGCTTATTGCTTGGTTTATGTACCGAAATAAAATAAGTATTTTTCAGGAGCGACGACTAAAACTAGAAAATAGTAGACAACAACATAAAAGTATACTTCCATGAAAATATTAAAGATCTTATTAAATGTGACGTAGAAGAATATATTCTTCTATTTATTTTGTTGATTTATTCCGATAGCATTATTTCCTACAGGTGCAAACAAGTAAAGATAACTTTAAAGCTGGTTTTATGCATTAATTTTTATCTTATCAAGTTGACAACACGGTGCTCTTGTAGAGTAAGTCATTAATATTACCGTGAAATATTAGTTGGTTATTTGATTATCATTCAGCCAAGTACATTATCGATATGTAGCTTCACCATTTTTAAATGATCCCCATCTCTCGATGCTCGTGTCTAGGCTTGGTCGTTTTAGCGATGCGCGTCCTAATGTTGGAGTAATTTTGGTTTACCGTAGGGTATTTATATATTTATCATATGATTAAAAAAATATTCAGTGGCATAAAAAATAATCTTATGACTATTGTTCAAGTATTATTATGATTAAATGTACTATATCCATGTATAATTAGTTTATGAACCAAAAGACTCCTAGATTATGTAATAATAGTAATTATTAATCACCCTAATACAATGTTTACATTGTAATCTTTACCTAACTTATTAATGAACCTCCTGTTATGAAAATAATTATAATGTGGATGTTCGTTTATTAGTCCGCTATAGATAATCTTCCTGAAGAAGATTATCCGTTTGGTACTCTGTTGAAGTTTATCTACAAGCAGCCGATGCAGGCAGGTTGCAAGCAACTCAATGAAATGATTTGCAGCAGCTTCTTATTAAACAGGCACGTTGCAAGCAGCTCAATAAAAGCCTCGCAGCTGCTTCCTTTCTTCTATAAATAGAAGAGTTTTCAGTTCATTATGTACATCAGTTTAAAGTTAAATAATATATCAGTTTCGGATCAAAGACCAATCATAAAGATATTTGTGTAACTGATATTGGAACAACTCATGCCATATTCAAAGATCATAAATACTTTTCTTATTTGCATAAGGAAAAAGCAAATGTTTCAACAATTTTTGGTAATATATGTTTGATTGAAGGCTCCGGAAGAGCCACTATATTTTTGTCTAAGGGAACAAAACTTATTATAGACAATGCATTATTCTTCTCCAAGCCCCGAAGAAACTTGTTAAGTTTTATAGATATACGTCGAAATGGGTATAACATTGAGACGATAGATGAAATGAATGTGGAATATCTTTGTATTACAAAGAATGTTTCTGGCTAGAAGTGCATTGTAGAAAAGTTACCAACTTTATCTTCTGGCATATACTATTCAAAGATTAGTATAGTTGAAGCACACTCTATCATAAACCAGAAGTTCATTGATTGAAATACTTTTGTGTTTTGGCATGGCCGTTTGGGCCATCCTGGATCAATAATGATGAGACGAACTACTGAAAATTTGAGTGAGCATCCATTAAAGAACCTGAAGATTCTTACAAATGATGAATTTTCTTGTGATGCTTGTTATCAAGGCAAAATGATCACTAGACCATCACCAATGAAGGTTGGCATTGAATCCTTTGCCCTTTTAGAGCGTATACACGGGGATATATGTGGACCTATTCACCCACCAAATAGGTTGTTTAGATATTATATGGTCCTAATAGATGCATCTTCAATAGGGTCTCATGTGTGCCTACTATCATCTCGCAACCTGGCATTTGCAAAGCTATTAGCCCAAATAATTCGATTAAGGGCACAATTCTCAAACTATCCTATAAAGGCTATTCGCCTTGATAATGCTGGAGAATTCTCATCTCAAGCTTTTGATGATTACTGTCTATCAGTTGGGATAAAAGTTGAACATCTTGTAGCTTATGTTCATACTCAAAATGGCCTTGCAAAGTCATTTATTAAACGATTGCAATGGATAGCAAGACCACTACTTATAAAAATAAAATTGCCCACTACTATTTGGGGCCATGCTATCTTGCATGCAGCATCACTTATATGTCTCAGACCGACACGTTATAATAAATATTTTCCGTTACAATTAATTTTTGGTCATTACCCCTATATGTAATCAAGAGGTCCGGAAGATTATCCATTTACAGAATATAGCAAATCAAATGTCAGACGTGTTTACTCATTTAAAAAGAATAACTAAATCACATATCCCTGCAGAGAATGTGCCTATCCGAATTGATGTCCCAGCAGGACCATCTACTAGCATGAGAGCTAGTGAACCTAAAGCACGACTGAAGCATGGTAGGCCTTTGGATTCTAAGAATCGAAATTCTCAAAAAATAAAATCGACAAATGATCAAAACGATACTATAAAGGGATCTCCTGAAGAGACCCAAGATCTTGTTAGTTCTGAGATTCCTGAAGAAATCAATGAACCCGAGACTCAAGTGAGCGAGGAACTTTTAATAAGTTCTACTGGTGATGGGATTAATTTAAATCGATCTGAAATAGTGGTGGATAATATTTTTGCATATAATGTTGCACTTAACATTATGCAAGATAGTAAGTATTTTGAACCCTGATCTGTCGAAGAATGTCGACAAAGATCTGATTGAAAAAAATGGCAAGGGGACAATTCAATCAGAATTGAACGCACTTGCTAAAAGAGAGGTCTTTGGACCAGTAGTCCAAATACCTACTGGTATAAAATCAGTTGGTCATAAATGAATTTTTGTGCGAAAAAAGAATGACAAAAAAGAAGTTGAAATATACAAGGCTCGCCTTGTCGCACAAGGATTCTCACAACGACCTGGAGTCGATTATGAAGAAACATATTCACCCGTTATGGATGCGATAACATTTCGATATCTCATCAGTTTAACCTTACGTGAAAGGCTTGAAATACATCTGATGAATGTGATTACAACTTATCTGTACGGGTCACTTGATAATGAGATTTACATGAAAATTCCTGAAGAATTTAAAATGCCTGAAGCAAATTCAAAATCTTGAGAAATGTATTCAATCAGATTACAAAGATCTTTGTACGATTTAAAGCAATCTGGGCGCATGTGGTATAATCGCCTTAGTGAATATTTGTTGAAAGAGAGTTACATAAATGATGTTATTTGTCCATATATTTTTATAAAGAAAATGGTATCAGAATTTGTTATACTTGTTGTTTATGTTGATGATATAAATCTTGTTGGAACTCCATAAGAGCTCTAAAAGGCAACTGAATATCTTAAGAATGAATTTGAGATGAAAGATCTTGGAAAGACAAAACTTTATCTTGGTCTGCAAATTGAACATTTAGCGGACGTGATCTTTATACATCAATCTGCCTATACAGAAAGGGTCTTAAAACGCTTTTACATGGACAAAGCGCACCCATTGAGTACACTAATAGTTGTTCGATCACTTAAAGTGAATAAGGACCCGTTCCGACCTCCAAAAGAGGATGACAAACTCTTTGGTCCTGAAACACCATATCTCAGTGCAATTGGTGCACTTATATATCTTGCTAATGCTACAAGGCCTGACATAACATTTTTTGTTAATTTACTAGCAAGATATAGCTCTTCTCCTACACAGAGATATTGGAATGAGATTAAACATATTTTGCGATATTTAAAGGGAACTCTTGATATGAGTTTGTTTTATGCTAACAAAGGTAGTGCAAATCTTGTTGGTTATGCAGATGCAGGTTATTTATTTGATCCCCATAAAGCTCGATCTCAAACCGGATACGTATTTATATGTGGAGGTACTGTCATATCATGGTGCTCCAAAAAGCAATCTATTGTTGCTACCTCTTCAAATCATGCTGAGATAATAGCTATTCATGAAGCAAGTAGGGAATACGTATGGTTGAGATCAGTGATTCATTTTATTCAAGAAAAATATGGTTTGGAATATGATAAAAGATCCATAATTTTATACGAAAACAATGCTGCATGCATAGCCCAATTAAAGAGAGGATTTATAAAAGGAGATAGAACGAAACACATGTCACCAAAATTATTCTACACACATGATCTTCAGAAAAATGGTGACATCGATGTGCAACAAATCCGTTCAAGTGAAAATCCAACAGATTTGTTCACTAAATCTTTGCCAACTTCAACTTTTGAGAAGATGGTATACAAGATTGGAATGCGGAGACTCAAATATTTGGAACAAGGTTTTCATTAGGAGGGTGAAATACGTGTTGTTCTCTTTTTTCCTTACTAAGATTTTTCCAATGGGGTTTTTCTTGTAAGGTTTTTAATGAGGCGGCTAGAATTGTGTATTACTAAATATGTGTACTCTTTTTCCTTCATTAGGATTTTTTTCACTGAATTTTTCCTAGTAAAGTTTAAAAGAGGCACATTATCTTTTGATGAACATCCAATGGGAAGTATTATGAAAATAATTATAATGTGGATGTCCATCTATTACTCCGCTATAGTGAAGAAGATTATATGTTTGGTATTCTATTGAAGTTTATCTACAAACAGCTGATGCAGGCATGTTGCAAGCAACTCAATAAAATAATTTGCGGTAACTTTTTATTAAACAGACAGGTTGCAAACAGCTTATGTAGACACCTTACAAGCATCTCAAGAAAAGCCTCGCAATTGCTTCATTTATTCTATAAATAGAGAAGTTTTCAGTTCATTATACACATCAGTTTGAAGTTGAATAATATATAAGTTTCTCTCTGTACTTATATTTACTTTACCGTCTTTATTTTATAACATCTCCTACTTTTTTTTCCAAAATAAAAGTTAAATAGAAGAAAACACAAAGCAAAATGGGTCTCAAATTGAAATGTCGTTTGGTAAAAGGACCTGTACGACAAGTCTGAAAAATTCCCTTTTCTTTTCAATTGAAAAATACCTTCGATTTGCCCTCTCTCTCTCTCTCACTCGCAATGATTGCGTTCTTCTGATTCTTCCCAATTTCACAAATTTACTTCTCTTAAGATTCTCTAATTTATTTTATTATCCCTCAGATTCTCCCAATTTCTGAATGTCCAGAATCTGATTTTTGTCATGAGGAAAAAACTCGACACTCGCTTCCCTGCGGTGAGCTGCTCTACTTTTTCACTCTTTCCTCTCTAATGCATTTTGTTTTTCTTTTTATTTTACTTATATTCGCCTTGATCTGCATATGGGCTCTGCTAATTTCAATGAATCTGGTATTTTATTAGCTTTTTAGCTGGAGCTATTTTGCTTAGTGGGTCGGGTTTCTAGGGTTGTTGCTCAACGGATAGCTTGAATTTTGACTTCACTTGTACATTGGCTCGTCATAAAATTCGCGTTCAAATTATCACGTATATGGTAACTTCAAGTTGAAATTTTGAGCCTTTTTAGGGACATGGTAATTTTTGGTTGAACTACTGGTCAGAATTGGATAAGCTTAGTGTAGCCAAAGAAAAAGTATAAGAGCTAGGATTTGGTATTGTGGGTTAAAGTAATTGCTTCAATCTATTGGTTTTGCTGCTAGTCTTACTGGCTTTATACTTGCTTTTACTTTACGTAACTATGTTTTTCCTAGGAGTTGTTTAGACTTTCAAAGATTTGTACATCACTAGAAAATGTAATGAACCTCTAGTACTTTTTAATTTAATATATTATATTATTATATTTATTTTGGATAATATTGGTCTCTGATGAGTTTATATGGAGTAACATGGTCACTGAGGATTAGTATAGCCAACTCCGGCTTATTTGGGACTGAGGCGTAGTCGTAGAGTTTTTGTCGCTGTATTTTGGTCCTTGAAATGACTTAAGTGAGGCAGTGCCGTGATGTGGCATGTCATCTGTGGTAGTTAAGGTGGATTATTGTTGGATACAGAAAGACAAATCAGCAAGTTACATTTTGCTGTGAATTGTTTTACAGTGTAATACCTTGGGAGCATTTGGAACTTTTTCAGCTTATATTAATTCTTTCTGCTGCTTTGGTGGTTAAAAAGTATCAGTAACTGTGGAAATAGAAGGAAGTTTCATGAGCATTGTCGCATTGGACATGCGAATGATAGATGGGGTTAGCCGTTTGGAGCTAACTGTTTGAACGAAATGGGTTGTACGTTTTTGTTTTAGTCGTGAACCTATTAACCTTAACTAGCGCAGGGCAAGCATTAAAAGCCAACTCATTCAAACTTGACAAAAAATGGCTGTTGTGGACATTGAGGCCGTATTTCGAAGAAGTAATTGTTGGGATGTGTCTATTGCCAAGAGCAATGAAAAACACACCTAGTGAAAATGTGCAATGGCCTAATAATGATGGCTGTGTTAGCATTGTTCTAGCTGCCAACGAAGGGAAAAATAGTTCTATATTCCAGAAGTGGCATTTCTTATCGTGATGGGAGATTACCTCAAATCAATCGTATCAAGTGTGTTAACCTCTTAATCACTCTTCTTAATTGGCACTGCGACAGCCTACTATTTGCCTTTTTTTTTTTGGGAGTTCTGTGCAGACACATTAAGTACAGTTTTATGTCCGAGTTATCAATCATATCAAGGGGTGGATTATCCTTGTGCCAGTCTGTCTGCCCATAAGAGGTGCATTTTGTGACAAGAAGTGGGCTCTCTCTTATCTGTGTGTTAAATGACCTTATAAAAAATAAAAATAAAACTGTGTGTTAAATGAACAGATATGCTGGTGCCTCTATAGGATCTGAGTTACTACATTTCTGATTCAAGTAGGGTCTCTGTTTCAGTGAATAACTCTTCCTTCGATTAAGAAAGAAAAGGATGGGCTTGGAGGATTAACATGGAAAACACGTAGAAGAACGTCTAATCAGATTCAAGTCTTTTTTATTTGTTATCATTGATGTTCTTATTGTTATATTCGTCATTATTATTTGCTTCTCAGCTTTTAGTTCTATCAAATGTTGAATATCTGAGATATCTCCATTTCTTCATGAAAAACGTTTAGGCCCGGATCAAGAAGATTATGCAAGCTGATGAGGATGTTGGTAAGATTGCAATGGCAGTGCCTGTTCTAGTGTGTAAGTCCCATATAATGTTTGTCCATCGTCAATTTACTCGTTGCTCGTTGGTATCTTTTTCTAACCCTTCTCCTCTTGGCATTAAATGCAGCAAAAGCCTTGGAGTTATTCTTACAAGACCTTTGTGATCGGACATATGACATAACTCTTAGAAGAGGAGCAAAGACTGTTAATTCACTGCATTTGTGAGTGACTTTACGAAAATCTCCATTCATCTGTATAGATCAGATCTGGAAGCTAATAATGAGCCGTTATCTATTCAATCTCCTCACTGATTTCTGATCTGGTTAATTTGTTGTTGTGTATGGTAACTTAATCCTGATAATCGACTTGGCTGTGTTGAGCAGTGCTTCAGACTTGTGCTTATCCTCAGGCCTTCCGATTCTTATGTAGTTTTTGTATTATATTGCATAGATGAAACATAAAATCATTATGGCTTTACTAGGAAGGTAATTAGATTTCAATATGCACATGTTATCTTGGTTGTCTTCTAAGTTCTCGGGCTTGTTTCAAGAAATGCACTTGCCTTGTATATAGGTCTGCTAGTACATGTCTTTAACATTTGATGAATTTATTTCTGCAGAGTGCTTCATCTCAGTGCCATTATTGTTTTTAACATGTTTGATTGATGAGAGGACCCTAGTCTTCATAGTTGTGGTGCTTTTGGTGAAAACCTGTTCAGTCTTTTTGATTCTTTCTCTGAAAATATCTGCCACTGTAGTGCTATTTTTTCTCATCTCTTTCTGTCATTGGAAACTTGTTTGGCTATTGCTGTTCATTTCTTACATGCTCTCTTCAAGTCTGCCAATCTCTACTGCAAGCCAACTGAGATGTTCTAGAAATCATGACGTCTTTTTGACAATAGTGGAGTATCATGGCTTCCTCTTAACATGGTGCAGTATCTTATGTCTGAAAGAATCCGAGCTACCTGCCCAAAACCTTTATGCAATAGGTGGAGTGGTCTAGGACATTTAAACCCTTTTGGAAATGCTCACGCAACCAATGAGGAACAAGTTTATTCTCCAACAGCACGTGTAACCCAGTTCTAGGGTTTTCACGTGTGTTGAAGATTTAAATTCTTGTCAACCTGTTACCTTAAGGTTTTGGATTGGATGCTCAGATTCTTTCACATGGAATCAAAGCATCCAACTCAAAACCTTAAGACAATGGGTGGAGTGGCCCAAGACATTATAAACTCCTTGTATTTGCAAAACCCTTATGCAACCAATGAGGGATAAGTGCATTCTCTAACAGTAAAGCATAAGTTAGTGTTTGTCTCCACTTCAGCTGTGCAGTTCCAATCGAGAGTTTCGTTATCTTTTGCTAGTACATCAAATGCCAATGAATGTACTTTATTCCATTGCTCTACTTCAACTTATTTCTTAATTTTTTTCTTCCTTTTTGCTGATACTCATGGGACCTTATGTAAAAAATGCTTTATTTGTGAGTGCGAACATGTACAGATGACAAAATTTTGCTGTGTATTGATATCCTGACAGTCTTATGCTTGGGTTGTTTTTGATCTTCCTGTAGCTTGAGAGACACTACTGATCAAAATCAGTTATCAGGTGATCTTGTAATTAATCTGTAGGGGGACTGAGTACTAGCTGTTAGAGTTAAAAGACTTAGTTAAGAGCGAAAGGCTGCAGAACGACTTGAATTGCCACACTGTTTATGTTCTGTAAATCCTAACCTCAAATGCTAGGAGGATTAGGGGAAACAGTCACATATGAAATTTCAAGATTCTTTATAAAAAAAATGAAATTCTAAGAAACTTTAAGGAATTCTTCATGCTGAAACTGTTCATGCTTTAAGCACACAAAATAGTTATACAAAGGGAAACAGTTTGGCATTAGAACAAGCCAACTTTCGGCCTCCTGAAAATTTGGGGGCTAAGGGAAGAAGAACAACCAAATCAAGCAATAACTCTCTGTCAAACCAGCTGGCAGCTGTAATGGACTTGCTTCCTGAGCATTCCTTGAAGGCTAGCTGCTGCAACATAAAGCAATTAAACTTCAACATTACTAATACACCTTGGAATTGTCTAACAAATTGAAAATAGTACTCTAAAGAATGTTATGCATAGAATTTAGAATTCAATGCATTTCACAGATCCTCTTTTAATGTTCATGTCATCTTTAATCTGTGTTAGCTAATGCATCATTTTTTTTCTTCTGCAATGTGCTGAAAGATCCCACTCCTACTACCAGAACACGTCTTTCTGTGCAGGTTAAGTAGGGTGATGCTGCCTTTCTCACTCACTTGTCAATTCGGAGATAATGTGCTTGTTGGTTCATTTATCCTATTACATCCATACTGATTGCATCTAACATCTATTTGTAGAAAGCATTGTGTACAAAGCTACAACGTGTTTGACTTTCTTCGGGAAGTTGTCAGCAAGGTTCCTGATTATGGCCATTCTGATGCTGCTGGTGAAATGCCAAAAAGAAGGTTAGGATCATTTCTTGTTCGTCTTATAATGTTAAAGTTGGTAGTTTTTCTTCTATTCAGTTGATTATTTGACTTACACTTCCAAGGTGACAAACTTTGCAAAATCATATACTGTTTTATCAGGAAAGTTGCAATGGAAGAACATCATGACAGTGAGGATGAGTTCAAAAGGAGCAGGACGGTGAGAAAGCCTTTGTTGACTCTTCTAGTTTAAATTCCTCGTAATTGCTCAGGCTAAAAACTGAAAAAGAACTTATTTATTGTAAATCATTTAATTATTGCTAATGAAAAAACATTTAGTTCTCTCAAAGAATAAAAAATGCTCTGAATGTAGTAATAATATCAACAAGTAATTGCTGATGATCTCATTTTCTGAGATGAAGTTTTCACGAGACAAACTGATTTAGCTCAAGAAAACATTGCACTATCAATATCTTTGATTCTCTTAATCTTTATCTTTTAGTTAGAAATAATGTTCTATCCATTAGTTAGTGATAACCTTTTTTTTTTGGAGATAAGGTTTTATATAGAATGGACATCAACTGTTTACTTTTGACCATCTTATGGGTTTCATTTTAGGAAAAAGGGTCAAATTTGCCCCTGAACTTTGCGAGATGATCTTACCCTCCATTAATAGTTGGGGTCGTTCGTACTCCTGCTGTTACAGAAGTTGCACAAATTTGCCCTTTTGACTAAAAGTCAACAATTAAAAGATTAATTAGTCACTAAATATCTTATTTGCATCAGCAAGTGACATGTGGCTTAAAAATTAACCCTCACCCTTAACCCCCTCCCCCTTCCTTCCAAAAGTATTGTCACCGCCTTCTTCGTCTCTTTACTAGACCCGCTCCTACCCCCCTTCCAGCCATCCCTTCTCTCTCTTTCATTGGTTGAGGAAGGACCAAACAATGTATGCTTGTTTGCAGTTAAAGATCGTTCTTCAAACATTTACAATTATCATCGCTGATATAAGCATGGTCGCCTATTTTAAAGAAACTATGCTGTTCCTCAACCTCTCCGATTTGGTTATCGTTTTTGCTGCCGCCGCTTGCAGCAGTTGTCATCCGTCAGCCGAGACAAAATACTTGCCATATTTTTGTTCTATGGGATGTCAACAATTCCCGTCTCTAGTAATTTCTGGTTCGTATGGTGAAGAAAGAAATTTCTATATCTTGAAAATTGTTAATTTTGGCCCTTGATCTTAATTTATGTAATGGGATTTCTGTAATTCATATAAAGTTTTTTAGTTTAATTGGTTGTTTCTCTCTGAATCTGAAAAGCCCCATTAAACCTGCCATACGTTTTATCCACCCCTGTGCTTACTCTTTCACTTTATTGCAGAAGTTGTAAGTTGGCTTTTATTACTTTGTCAACTACCTTCCATATAGCTTTATGGATTGGATAATAGTTGGAGTTTTCTTTCCTTATTGTGCAGAAAGGGAGCATCTAAGCCATACTTGCCAAAGATTTGAGCTTTCTTGCTTTTTTGGACTAGAAGCTAGATAAAGCTCGAACCTGTTAGGTTATTTTGTTTCAGAGGCCTCCAAGTATATTAAAGTGAAAGAGAGACGGGATCGGCCGAGAGCGAGTCTGGTGAGAGTAGAAAGGAGGAAGATGATGATTATTTTAACAGGAAAAGGGGGAGGGGATAGGGGTGTGGGTTAATTTTAAGCCACATGTCACACTTTGCTGGTGCAAATAAGATATTTAATGACTAATTAATCTTTTAATAGCTGACCGTTAGTCATAACTCAGAAGGGCAAATTTGTGCCACTTTTGTAACGGCAGGGGTGCGGATGACCCCGACTATTTACGGAGGACAAATGCAGACAATTTCGAAAGTTCAGGGGTAAATTTGACCCTTTTCCCTTCCTTATATGAATCGAGAATTTATTTAGAGTTGCACCAACACTTTCACTCATTGCAGTTGAGTTTTCTCCAAGAGAGTGATGTAGATTAAACTAAGGTTGCACTCATTTTTTATTTATTTTTAATCTGTTAAAGATTTATATGTCAATAGAAAATGAAAATAACTTAGTGTTAGATAACCCAAATTATGGGATATTGGAATTAAGTTGGTTTTAAATGGAGCAATACGGATAAAGGATTCTTATCACTGACCCAACTACCTTGACATTGAGGTGTATGTTATTGTTTCTCTCAGTTAGTTAGCGTTTTTATATGGCATAATTAAATAAGGAGGAAGATGCAATGTGATAAGGCAATGTCGCATGTCGCATATCACAGATCAGGTGTTTTTTGTATAATGTGATAACACAATCATTTGTGGTTGTCATGAGAGTTGTGAAAGCATGATGTTTTCACATAGTAATCAGCTTACAGTGTACAGTGATCACTTTATATTTTCTGTTATCAATTCATGACGTGAATGGCATTTTTTTCCTGCAGGAGACGTGTCATGCTAGCAGTAGTGGTAGGGGAAGAGGTAGGGGTAGAGGAAGAGGTCGTGGCCGGGGACGTGCTGATAGGGAGCTCTCGCGGCCTGATATGCAGCTTGAATCCTGCACATCTGTTCAGCAGAGTGGTTTGCAGAATCCAAACCCTGGAACTCACACAGAAAACTGCACTGAACCGAAGGGATCACCTAAACAGGATTCCAGTGCTTGTGACAGGGAAAGTTCAGTTGTAACAACTCCTGATCTGAAGGTCAACGTAGATGAAAGCGTTGATAAATCAGCTGCACCAGATATAGCAGCCTGCAATCCATCGCCAAGGCCTGCCAATGAGAAAGTGGAGGAAGGCCCCCAATGGTCTCTCGAGATGGAGAGAATGGTTATCGACCCTGTCCATATGTCACAACTTAATTCAAGTTTGGCGGAGGAGGAAGAAGATTATGATGAAGAGTAGACAGATAAAATAACAAACAAATGGTCTATTCAGCATATGCTATTTATTTGGTAGCAAGTTCCTATGGGCCCTAACATAAAGGACATGAATCCCTCTGCCTCCCTTTGTGATTTGTTGCAGTATATGTATTTCTTAGTTGTCTTTGTGACTCCAGTCTTGTAATGGTCTCTAACCGTTTCCTCTTTCCAGTAGAAATAAGTAGGAAATGCGTGTTGCTCTCCAACCAGCACTCCATGTACCAGTTACTGTATGAAATAGCGAGGGATAACTAGTTTGTATCTTTATTCGATTTACATAATATTAGTCCTTGACTTCTGCTGAAAAAGGGTGCCATAAAATTTTCGAAAACTAGAAGGGGTTAAAGTGCCCTTTGAAGTGCCCCTACTACATTATTGCCTACTCCAGCATACATAATATCAAAGTTATGCTGGTCTCTTGTTCTACACACATTTTGATACTTAACTTTAACCATCCTGCTGGTTACTCTTCTCTTATTTTGAATCATTTTTATCAGCTTAAAGCAAAACAAACTGGAATACCATTTTGATGATGGATCGATCTATTGTGAGTTTCTTATTAACATTCAGAAACTCTCTTCCTTGATGTCAGAAGATTTATAGCTGTCATTTAACTAGGCAAATCCTAAACGCTCCTGTCAAAAGTGATCAATATACTAAGAAGTAATATGAACTCATTTCTTTTTTAGTCCGTGTTAAGAAGAATGACCCCTTTCTATATTTGTAAATAATTTACCTTTTTAAAGTGATTTATAGCCACACAATGTGACTCATTTTACACCACAAGTTCAAAAGGGTTCTCTATTTTTCTTAAATTACATGCCTAGTCAAATAGGTTCACATAAATTGAAATGTATGAAGTATTATTACAAGACGCCTAGTAATACTACACTTGGTCAACAGTACATAACTCTCCTTACCAATAAGATATAGACATTTAAATTGGGATAAAAGAAGGTATATATATAACAGACGGATAGCATTTGGGTACTGTAGACGCATTAGGGTTGAGGAGGTCGTGTGGACTATGCGTATGATGAGGAGGGATAGAGCGACCGGACCAGACGAAATTCCTATTGAATTTTGGAGGAGTGTGGGCAGAGAAGGTTTGGAGTGGCTGACTAGGCTGTTAAATATTATTCTCAGGACGAAGAGGATGTCGGACGAGTGGAGGTGGAGCAGGATGGTACTATTGTACAAGAACAAAGGCGATATCCAGAGTTGTAACAACTATAGGGGTATCAAGTTACTAAGTCATACCATGAAAGTTTGGGAGAGGGTGGTGGAAAAGAGGGTGAGGAGAACTGTGTCTGTATCTGATAACCAGTTCGGGTTCATGCCGGGTCGTTCAACTACGGAGGCTATCCACCTTATTAGGAGGTTGGTGGAACATTAGAGGGATAAGAAGAATGATTTGCACATGGTGTTTATTGACCTGGAGAAAACGTATAACAAGGTACTTATGGAGGTTCTTTGGAGATGCCTGGAGGCAAAAGGCGTGCCGGTTGCTTACATTAGGGCGATTAAAGACATGTATGAGGGAGCTAAGACCCGGTTTAGGACAATGAGAGGCGACTCCGAGCATTTTCCGGTTGTTATGGGGCTTCACCAAGGATCTGTGCTTAGCCTATTTTTATTTGTCCTGGTAATGGACACACTGATGCACCATATTCAAGGGGAGGTGCCATGATGTATGTTATTCGCTGACGACATAGTTTTGATTGATGAGACGCGAGGCGGCGTTAACGAGAGACTGGAGGTTTGGAGACATGCCCTTGAGTCTAAAGGTTTCAAGTTTAGCAGAACTAAAACAGAATACCTAGAGTGCAAGTTCAACGCCGAGTCGAGGGAAGTGGGTATGGACGTGATGCTTGAATCACAGGTCATCCCCAAGAGAAGCAGTTTCAAGTATCTTGGGTCGGTTATACAAGGGGACGAGGAGATCGACAAAGATATTGCGCACCGTATAGGGGTGGGATGGATGAAGTGGAGGTTAGCATCTGGAGTCCTATATGTCAAGAAGGTGTCACTGGGGCTCAAAGGTAAATTTTATAGAGGAGAGGTTACACCAGCCATGTTGTATGGGGCAGAGTGTTGGCCGGTTAAGAACTCGCATATCCAGAGGATGAAATTAGCAGAAATGAGGATGTTGAGGTGGATGTGCGGGCACGCTAGGATGGATAAGATTAGGAATGAAGATATTTGGGAGAAGGTGGGCGTGGCCTCGATAGATGACAAGATGCGGGAAGCTAGGATCAGATGGTTCGGACATGTGCGGAGGAGAAGTCCAAACGCCCCAGTTAGGAGATATGAGCGGTTGGCTTTGACAAGTATAAGAAGAGGCAGAGGGCGACCCAAGAAGTATTGGGGATAGGTGATCAGGCAGGACATGGCGAGGCTTCAGATTTCTGAGGACATGGCCCTTGATAGAAAAGTATGGAGGTCTAGCATTAGGGTTATAGGATAGGGGGTAGCGGAGCTCTTTGCTACTCCGCACCGGATGAGAGGCTAGTCTCACAGGGTTGTGTCCTAGAGTGCTAGTGGTTATTGTTGTGTCCACACTTCTCTTTTACTTTTCATAGTACCGGACCTTTCTTTCATCTATTTTCTGGTACTTTTGATTCTGTTACTATTTTTATGCCTTCTGCTGTTAGTACTGATATATTGTCTTTTCGTCTGCTTGAGGTGAGGGTCTATCGGAAACAACCTCTCTACCCCTTGGGGTAGGGGTAAGGTCTGCGTACACTCTACTCTCTCCAGACCCCACTTGTGAGACTTTACTGGGTTGTTGTTGTTGTTATTTATTTACGGTAGCTCTTTTTTTTTTTCTTTGAAATGCATGACCAAACCTTAGTTATTTTACGACAAAAAGATAGATGACGGTATTCAAATCACTTGTAGGAATTGATAGAGCCCATTTCTCCGCTTTTTACTGGTCCAGGCCCACGGTATAAATGTCTAGGTTCTTACTAACCCAGCCCATAGACTGTTTCCGCAGACACAATTAGGTATAAATCTCAACAATCAACCACATGCATCTTCCTTTTTCTTTTCAGCTGGTTGAGGCAGCTGAGCTCCGCAAACTAAACCCTAGCTCCTCTGCCCTCCTCCTTCTGCCACTTTCTCTTATCTCTCCATTAACACCACTACTTGATCCGTTTTTAAGATCAGCGTCAAAATTAGATTATCAGAAAAGGTAATATCCGTCCCTATGTTTTTTGTTTTTGCTTTTGCTTTTTATCAGTTATAAAGTTATGCGCTTATTTTTATCTGAACAAAGAAGAAACGATTTAATGCGATGTGCTCAATATAGCTTCTCTCGAATCTATACAACGTTATTTTTATTTTTACCTTTTTAATAATGCTGATTTTTGTTCCTGTTTAATAGATACTTGTAATTTCTTCTATTTGCTTCTGTGTCGGTGTTTTTTCTCCCTATTTGGTCTTGTTATGAAAAGGGAATCAAATGTTTAATGCTGATTTTTTTGGTTCTATTTGTTAGCTTATTCCTGAAACTTAAACCTGTGTCTATGTATGTTTATTTGTTATTCTCATTTTATTAATATGAAGAAAGTTTTGACTAAGACTTTGGAGAAAAGGTTACTCATAGTACTGCTCGGGAAGTTTCTGAATTTTATTTCCAAGTGGATTAGTACATGTCCGCTTTTAGACCAAATTGATCATTGAAAAGCAAAAAGATTCTATAATTTTGGGGTGGAGTAATTTTGTATATGTTTTAATAAAGTTGAATGGAAAGTGGTACTGTTTGGACAAAGTAATTTTTGTGTGCTTGTATAAGTAAAACGGATTTCATTGGTACTGAATGTACATTGTGACTTTGTTTGTATCCGAGGATATGATCAAGGTCATGGATCAAGTATTATGATGAATTCTTTTGATTGTAGCTTGACAAAATGATTTATTGATGCTCTAAATTTCAATAGCTTTGTCAACTGCATTTTCCCGTGGAGAAAGATTGGTGATTTCATCTTTTTCTTGGAGTTACTTATAAACTTTAGTTTCGATACATGCAATTTGGTTCCAGACCGAATTTTTGGAACCTATTCAACTCAGGTTTTGAAGCGTACTTTCTAAGCCAAGCTGTATGATTTTGGCAGTCTTGAATCAGTTGACATGTGATTAAGTTTTTGATTACCCAGATTGTTTGTTGATGGAAAGTGTTGGTCGTATAATCATTTTATTTTCTTGCTGCTTTCAAACTGTGATGAAGTATATCAAGATATCAAAAGCAACATGGTCCCCCTCTATTTTCATTAAAAAGGCAGCCCCGTGCATGAAGCATCATGAAGCATCATGCATTCACGGGGGGTCATGGAAAGGGCCGCACCCTATGGTGTGATGTAGGCAGCCTACCCTGATGCAATCATCCCCTCTATTTTCGTATTCCAACATTTTGTCCTATGAAGCTGTTGTACTAATCTTACTCCACTTTGTTTTGGTGCCTCAACACTTTCATGAAATATATCAATCAACTATGCCTGAGCCCCATCCTGTATCTTTTTGTTCTATTTATGTTCATTTCATTTCAATACTACTAGACAAATTAGGAGATTTTTACAACTGGAGGTTCTTTAAATCTATGACTTATGCATACTCGGGCAGCCAACACCCTTTTAGTGGCTACTATCCACACAAGCATATAATGTTGTGTAAACAGAGGCCAGGAAGTAATAAGTTGGAGGTTGACCCTTCGTAAATGTCACAACTGCTGGCCCATTAAAGTTTTAACCAGAAGAATAAATGGACTCATGCATCTAATGTTTGTAACAACCCAACTAAGCCTGCCAAATACCTGGTATAGCCATGAAGTATTCTTTTCTTAGTGATTTTTTCAATCTGCTGCATGCAGTAAGACATGCACTTCTTTTGTGATGATGGATAACTATTATTTCCCACTCTCCACATTGTCTTTGACTTATTCTTTGATGTGTTTGTAATTATTTTTCCTCAATGCAGGCTGGAGACTGTAAAAGGCTGCGCTCTCATCTCCTGCCCTAAGTGTAGTAGTTGGTAGATGTGTTCATATTCATCTTCTAAACTTGAGGGCTAAACTTTCTCTATGGCTTCCAGGAGTAGCGTCCGTCTTATTTCATACTCAGAAGAGCTTATAAATGGTGAGCCAATCTATATTTCCTCAAACTGCTTTCCTAATAAAGCTCTCAAATATGAGCCTGCTGGGCTTGCTTTTCATTCTGCTGCTCTTAGACTGAGTGGGCATGTTGAGAAAGAAGACTCCAAAGATGGTAAAGAAGATGTTCCTACTGAAAAGGAACAGTCATTTACATAT